CATATAAGAAAGTGTTCAACATCCTTAGCCATCAGGGAAATACAAATCAGATCAACTCTAAGATACCATCTTACTCCTGTCAGAATGGCTAAAATCAAGAACAACAATGAGGACACAGTCAGCAAGACATAACATCAGCCCACAGACTGGGAAAAGATATTCACTAACCCCACATCTGACAGAGGGCAGACTTCTAAAATATACAAAGGAATTGATTTCCATTCTTAGGCATATACCCAAAAGATACACATTCATACAAGGACATCTGCTCAACCGTGTTCATAGAAGCATTATTTGTAATAGCCAGAATCTGGGAGCAACTTAGATCCCTTTCTACTGAGGAATGGATGGAGAAAATGTGGTACATTTACACAATGGAGCAATACTCAGCAGAAAAAAAAAATGGAATCTTCAAATTTGCAGGAAAATGGATGGGACTCGAAGAAACCATTCTGAGGGAGGTAAACCAATCACAAAAAGACAAACATGGTATGTACTCACTCATATGTGGATTTTAGACATAGAGTAACAAAAATGGTATGTACTCACTCATATATGGATTTTAGATCTAGAACAATGAAGTAGCAGCCTACAAGTAGCCTCTAGCTACTGCCAGAGAAGCTAGTATGAAACAAGGAGGACCCTATGAGCATATTACATGGTCCCCTGGAGAAGGGGAAAGGGACAATATCTCCTAAGCTAATGCGAAGCATGGGGAGAGAGGAGAGGGAGTTAGAAGAAAGAGAAGTGGAGAAGGGGAGGGGAGAGGAGGACAGGAGGGAGTAGGAAGATCTAGTCAGGGGAGAAATGGAGGAGAGCAAGAAAAGGGATTCCACCATAGAGGGAGGCATTATAGTTTTAAAGAGAATTCTGGCACTATGGAAATATCCAGAGACCCCCAACTAACAATCTAAGCAACAGTCGAGAGGCTACCTTAAATGCCCTTCTCTGATAAAGAGATTGATGACTACCTTGTGTGCCATCCTAGTGCCTTCATTCAGTAGCTGATGGAAGCAGAGGCAGACACACACAGCTAAATACT